CCGGGGCCTGAAACGATTGTTTTGGGGGTCCTGTTCAGTCTGTTGGCCTTTGGAGCCATTTTGGGGCCTTCTTGGGGGTCTTTCGGACCGTGTAAGTGCGATGTGGGGACCTTTCGAATTGATCTAGATGAGAACGTCAACCAGCGACAAAACTAAAGGAATCTCAAAGGTCAAAGGCGGGCACGTCAACCATTTGAACAACCAGTGGACAACCAGCGTTTTTTTGCCACTAGTTTCCTGTCGGGGTCCCCCTGTGATTGTCCTGGGCGGTCCTGGGGACTTCCGCGTCTGTGTTGACGCCATCTGGGGCCCTCGTGGACTTATCTCAGGCTGTCTTGGAGCATTTGTGGGCCGTCGTAGAAGGATTCGCGCGCAATTGTGGCGCGCCTGTGAGCTCTCCTGGGCGAGAGAAGTTTGCCAGCAGTTCCCCACCCCCTGTTCTCCAAATCGGCCGGCCCTGGTTCCCGAGGGGTGCGTTTCAGGAGGGGCAACTACCTTTTGCGTCGAAGGGTCCCAATGAATTTGCGAATTGCACAGTGGCCTCGCTCATGTCCCACAAGAGGCCCCACCGTGGTCGCATTATTCCCTCATGCGTCCCTAGTGCCGTCAACTTATAGACTGGGTGCCCTGCGTGGCCTCAAAGCGACCCCATTAATTTACCCAAGGGTGTGCCATTGTGGGGCTAATTGTAGTTCTCCCAAGTGGCCCCAGAAAAGGTTCGACCGCAGGACTCACATCCTTCGGAATATCTCACTGTGGCTTCGGTCGTGATCCCACAGTATGCCTTCACTAGAGAGTCAGTGTTGTCCCTGCACGGGGCCTCGGATTGGTCTCAAGCGAAAGCCTGGCAACGACTTTCTGAATGCTTTTGTTCTCTACATATTCCGTTGTTGATGCTGTCGACCACGATGGTGGGGTTGCTGATGTAACAAATTGTTGAGGCTGGGGATGTTGTGGTAAGGATGTCTGCCGCGTGGACACCATACAATGAGCTCCTGCACTGTGCGAGCTCAATGTGCGGTGCACATTATGTGGTGCAAGCTATGCTTGCGGTGCAAGCGAGTTGGTGCGATCTATGCGTGGTGTAAGCTGTGTGAGGTAATTCAGCCATGCGCTGTAAACAATGTGGTGCAAGCTTTGTGGGCTCCAAGTTATGTGGTGTACTATCTGCAGGGCTTCGCCCTCTACGGCCGCCCGCCACAGATTGCTTGTGTGGCAATGGTTGGTTGGTGGGGTAGTTGGTTGGTTTGCTTATTGGTCGGCTGGATGGCAGCTCGACTGATTGGCGTCTCGTCTAAACAGCTAGTTTGCAAGTCATTTGGGCTGTTCGCTGGCTGGCAGACTGCGCGCGTCTGTAATGATTGGTGAGGAGTGGTGGCCTCGGGAGCGCGCCTCAATTGTAAATTGCGAAGCTTCGAGGCTTCGGGAACGCGCGCTCCTTGCTACCATGACTGGTGGCTTCGAACCCCGAGCCGAGTTCTCAGGAAACGACGGGGGGGGGCGAACAACGCCCCCCGATCAGGAAAGGGGGCGGCGATCTTGGGCAGCCTCCGTGGGGTGGCTCCGTGGTAATTTACCAGGGATTGGCTTCCTGGGCGCACACTGGCATGGCACCGTGGTTTCAGGAATGCGAATCTGCAATCATTGAATCGTGATTGTGGATTGGGGAGCGCGAGTCCGAGGTACTTTACGAAGGATTGCGTTTTCGGAACGCGAATCTGGTGTAATATGGGAGGGATGTTGGCTTGGGGAGCACGGATCTGGTGTATTTGTTTAGGGGTTGTGGCATTCTGGGCATGAACCTGGCATAGTATACCACGGATTCCGGTTTGGGGAGCCAGATTTGGCATGATTAAGGGTTTGCGGTTTGGGGAGCGCGAACATGGAGTCGTTTTCCAGGGATTGTGGTTTAGGGAACGCGAGTTTGGTGTAAGTTACATGGGAGTGTGGCCTCGGGAGCGCGATTCTGTCATATGTTAGGACGGAGTGGCCTCATGGGCCCGAGCTTGGCGCATTTTGAAAGTATCAGCACATAACCAATAAAGCACATTGAGATGGATTGTGGCTTGGGGAGCGCGAGTACTGCCTCATTCAAGTGGGAATGCGGCTTGGGGAACACGGTTCCAGTGTAATACATAAGGGGTTGAGGTTTGGGGGCGCGAGTTGGAGTATTTTGCAAGATCATGTGGATTGGGGGCAGCGGGCATGGAATAAGTTACAAGGAGTTGTGGCCTCGGGAACGCGAACCTGGCGTATTGTAGGGATTGAAGATTGGGGAGCGCGAGTTTGAAGTAAGTTATACGGGATTGTGGGTTGGACATCGCGAGCCTGGTGTAATTTTCAAAGGGTTGTGGCGTGGGGAGCGCGAGCCTGGCGTACGTTTGGAGGGATTGTGGCTTGGTGGATAGCCAACCTGGGGGAACTTATAAGGGGGTTGCGGCCTCACGATCGCGAAGCCGCCGTCATTTACACGGTATGCGGCCTCGGGAGCGCGATTCGGATGTGTGTTTCATGTATCCCAGCGCACCCGACCAATTCGTTGTTAGGAGGTGGTGTCCGTGCTCCTGCCCTCATGTGGATTTCGGCAATTATAGCAGTGTAGAAGAACGCGTGACGTCTACACCAACATTGGTGAGGTGAACTGGAGCATCTCCGCCTTCGCAGTCTGATGGTCCCACAAGGGGGCCAGCAGATCTGTGGTGTCAGCTCTGCGTTGAAGGCTACGAGGTGCACGCTATGCGGTGTAAGGCATGGGGTGTAAGGCATGTGTGGGCGCGAGCTGACACCAAGCCGATGCACTGCAATGCCGAGAGGCTCTGATACCAAGAGGCAATCAGGTTTATAGACTAAGAAGCCCAGGGGCCGACATACCCACATAACAACACACACACGTGACAAATATACTACGGTAAGAAACCACCGAGGAACTCGTGGAACAAATTTCAAGACGCCCACGCTGCGAATGTGTTCATGTATGTGGAGCGTAAGAGTTTCACATGCGAGGCGGCGAGGGCCAGTGACCAGAACGCGCGACGGCCCAAACGTCGGAACCCAGAGGGGCGGCCCAGTAACATTCTAGAAGGAGCCGCCTGCAGAAAGTTCTGGCAGGAGGGCCTCAGTAATTCTAGGAGGACGCGTAGCCCCGTGCCGTGCCCTGGGTAAGTCGTCCTCGGATTCCATAGCTGCCTGTAATTCGTATCATGCAAGGGTACAGCGGTCAGACACGATCCGCGCGAAACACGTGATTTTCGCACCACTCGGATCCGTCCAACGCCAAACACATTTCGGCTCCGAAAAGGATCCGTGCCTGGAACCGACGTCCGAGGCACCGCTGACACGCCCGAAAGGGAACCTTGTGTCACCGTCTGCGGGGGCCCTTGCATGCGTTTTCCGGCGCGCATCGCCCACGACCTGCCGCCGAACCCATTTTCCCGGGGCTGGCTGTGCCGACGGCCCCTGGCCAGGGTGGACCAACAGTCCGGTGTCTTCGTGCGATTTGAACCTTCGGGCCGAATGTTCAAATCGTACCAACTTACGTGACTGCCTGTCACAGACAGTCGGGTAGAGTTGGTGCGATCTCCTTGGAATGGACGCGTGACTGAACCTCCAGACGGCGCACGGGCGCGAACGCGCCCAGGTGCCCCCAGGAGCTCCCACAGGCCAGTTGGAGGACGACGACGGCGACGTCGGCGACGGCGTGGCGACGACGACGACGCCGGCGACGGGTAGGTCCAGTGATCAGAACGCGCGACGGCCCAAATGTCGGAACCCAGAGGAGCAGCCCAATAACAGTTTAGAAGGAGCTGGCTAAAGGAAGTTCTGGCAGCATGACCTCAGCAAAATTTTAGAGTGTGCGTAGCCCCGTGCCCTGGGATCCCCTTTTCCCCAGGCTGGCTGCGCCGACGGCCTTTGGCCAGGTTGGACTTACCATTTGGCATTTATGTGCGATTTGAATATTCGGGCCGGATTTTCAATTCGTAACAATTTACCTGATTGTCAGTAGGTTCGCTCGTTGTTGGTCAGCCGCGCGCAATGGGAGGTGGAGGGAGGGGGAGGGCTTCTGAAAAAGACGCGGTTCTTGTTTATAGATGTCAGGCGCGCGCTTTGAAACAAACAACATGTTTCCCCTTTCGCTCCACCTCCGCGTGCGCGCCGCCAAAGCGGGGACAAGCCGCACCACGACGTGATTGCGCGATATGAGCCGGCTCTTGCGCGCACTCTCGGCGAGCACCCCTGGCCGTGCCCGTGTCCCTGGCCGTCGTCATGGCCCCACGTTCGTCGGCGCGTGCCCCATCGGGCCTGCTGGTCCGCCACTTCGCCGTCTTGCCTCCCTCCCGACGTTCCTGTTGAGACATCCCTACATCCCTTGGCGATGACGGGCGTGACCAGAGTTCAGAGGAGGAAGAGGTGCCCGTATCGCTTCCCTTTCCTCGTCTTCGCTTCCTTTCCCAGGAGGCTCTGGCCGCCACCGCTGGATTCGCCTCGGAATGTGGTCAGAACGCACCCTGGGTGAGGTTCTGGGAGCTTCTGTATCGGCACCCTTTGGTTTCCCCAGGTGGGGGGAGAGGGCCGGTCACGCCACGATTCGCGCCGGCGCAGTCTGGGAGTGCCTCTCAGAATGGCTCGTTCCCAGACAGCGCAGGGGTGCCCAGAGGAGGCAGCCTGGGGCGCCGAAGGTGTACGAAAGCTGCGCCTTTCCCCCCCCCGTTCACTGCCCGACGCCCGAGATATTCATAAACACACCGCGGTTGTGGCTTCTTTTTTCTCCACGCCTGCTCCGCGAGGGAGCGCGGTGGAGGAGGATGCGGAGAGGGCGAAGGAGGCGGAGGCGGAGGCGGAGGCGGAGGCGGAGGAGACGAAGGAGGTGGAGGCGGCGGAGGAGACGGATGAGGAGGAGGAGGAGGAGGAGGAGGAGGAGGAAGGAGGAGGAAAGAGGAAGAGGATGGACGAGCGGGGCACACGGGAGTGCACCTCTCCCCCTCCGACCGCCACGCCGCCAGGCGGAGCTCTGCGCACCGTCTCCCCCCACACTCGATCTCCACGATGAGCACGCTGGATGGCCAGGACCCCTCCTCCCCTCCCTCCTCCCTCGTGTTCCCTCCTTCCCATTCCCTCCTCTCGACCCTTCAGGTTTGGTTCTGCACTGAGTGTGAGGCGATCGCGGATAAGGCTTTGCGCTCCCTTAGAAGTGTTTTCGATTGCAAGATGACTAGTACGGGTAAGGAATACCTTGACATAATAAAGGGGGTTAGCTCCCAAAGTCCTCCGTCGAGCCGAATAATTGGCTCGACGCTCGAGTGTCCCGAGACCCAAGTCGTCCTTTTCAGCTAGATAATTGACCTGCATCCGAAGCGGTTTCCACTCCGCTCCACTCTTGGTCCCTCCTCCCTCACCGCGTGCTCGGCCCGGGCTTCGGCTCCCCGCCAGCCAGCGCCACTCGGCGCCCCTGACGCTGCTCCTCGCCCCCCCCCCCGCCACCCCCGTGCCTGTGGTGCCTGCGGGATGGAGCCGCGGACTGGTGCTGCCCGCCAGCAATTGCCGCCCCCCTCGGCCTGCTACCGCATGGCGCGAGCAGCACCGCGCGAGCGCGGGCCCGCGCGGCGGTGCGCCTCCTGGGCGCCTTCGCGCAATTGGCCGGCCACCAGGGCCGCCAGCCGTCGCAGCTGGCGGACGCCCTGGCGCTCGTCGTCGTCGTCGCCGCCATCGCCGTCGTCGTCGGTTGTCGTCGTCGCCGTCGGCGTAGTTGGTCGTCGTCGTCATCGTCGTCGTCGTTTTTTCGTCATTTGCTTGCGCGAGGGGGGGGCGCGGGCGCTTGCGGCTGCGCCTCCTGCCGCTAATCTGTCTGGGGGTGGCCCGCACAACGCTTCTGACCTGCAGGAGGACGTGGGTCTGGATGCTGGATCAGATGCCGAGGCGCGCAGCCTGGCACCATGCCCTCGTGCCACGGAGGTCTAGAAGACCTTCGTCGTAGACGTGCTTGAATCCCACGCGCGGGAGGCTGACGATACGATGGCTGTTCTGTCTTCCCTGATTGAGCTGACGTTCCTGCTCATCGGCCCGACTGTCACATTGGCGCCAGCTCCGATGGACTTCTATCTTGGAGGAGGTAATCAAGGAGGAGTGGCCTGTCCTGGTCGTCTTCGGTGTGTCTTCGGGACCACTCGGGGGCTTCTTGGGCCCTCTTCGGCCGTCTTGGCCCTCCCGAGGTGCTCCTGGACTCGGCCCCGCCCCAGTCCTTGCTCCACTTGCGAGTGCCGCATCAGTTGGCGATGTGTATGCGGCTCAATCGTATCAGTATAGTGGTGTACATATATATATATATATACATATATGCATCTGCGTTCGTGCGTCTACATCTGAGAAGTATTTTCGCCCCTCCCTTCCGGCAATAGGATAACTCTTCCCGCACCGGGAAGCGTTATTCCTGCACCGGACTGATGATGTGGCTCTCGCCTTAGCGCCGCGCGCATTCGTTGCAAGAGCTTGCAAGACTTTCACGGATTGAGGGCGGTTTGTTGATCTCGCATGGGCGCCGCGCACATTCGTTTCAAATTGTTGCAAGAGCTCCACGGATTTGGGGCGGGTCGTTTTCAGAATGTGGTTTTCGCCCTAGCGCCGCGTGCATTCATTTCAAACACTTGCAAGAGTTTCACGGATTCAGGGCAGGTCGTTTTCAAAATGTTGCTCTCGCTTTCAGCGCCGCGCGCATTCGTCTCAACAACTTGAGATAGTTTCAGGATTGAGGGCGGCTCGGTTTCGAAATGTCGTTCTCGCCCTAACGCCGCGCACATTCGCTTCAAACTCTTGCAATTATTTCACGGATGGAGGCCAGGTGGTTTTCAAAATGTGGCTCTCGCTTCAGCGCCGCGCAAATTCGTTTTGAAAACGTTGCAAGAGCCTCACGGATTGAGGGCGGCTTGTTTTCAAAATGTTGTTCTCGCGTTAGTGCCGCGCACATGTTTTTTTCTCGGTTGTGCAGGAGTTTCACGGATTGAAGGCAGTTTGTTTTTAATCTAACTCTCGCCTCAGCGCCGCGCACATTCGTTTTGAAAACGTTGCAAAAGTTTCACGGATTGAGGGCGGTTCGTTTTCAAAATGTGGTTCTCGCCTTAGCGCCGCATGCGTTCGTTTCAGAAGAACTATTACGGTCATTAGCTTTCTCCATACAATAGTTGTTGTTGCCTATTATAATTATCACTACTGTTACGATTACTAATGCGACATGCTTTTAACGCCACGTCGCGGGCGGGGATAATTTTTGTCCGCGCTCCCAGGTGCTAAAATAACGCTCTGTGCGGGGCGGGCGCGATACCTTGGGATGGACCACCCCCTAGGAGGGCCAACGAAAATCAATTTCCCAGTAAGGAATACTTTATGAGTCGCATAGGGCGAGGGCGGCGGGCAGAAAGAGAAAGGAAACTTTGGACTCGACCGCCCCTCTCGAAGTATGACACTGGGTGTTACGAAGCATCACTGCTACTGGCTTGTAGTCAAACTGATAGTACAACTATTATTCCCCAATCAGAGCTTGCCTCTGTAGGGGTCCTAGCGGATTCATATGGTTAGGTTAGGCTCGTCGCCGATTTTCGCGGCACGCCCGGGTGCCCGGGGGTGCCCGGGGGTGCCCGGGTGCCCGGGTGCCCGGGCGTGCCTGCTGGTGCCCGGGCGTGCCCGGGCGTGCCCGGGCGTGCCCGGGGTGCTTGGGGGTGCCCGGGGGTGCCCTATAGCCCAATAGCTCTATAGCCCTACAACTCTATAGATCTATAGCTCGATAGCCCTATAGCTCAATATTCATAAGGTTAGGGTATTGTCGCCGATCTTCGCGGCACGCCCGGGTGCCCGGGGGTGCCCGGGGGTGCCCGGGTGCCCGGGGGTGCCTGGGGGTGCCCTGGTGCCCGGGTGTCCGGGCGTGCCCGGGCGTGCCTGGGGGTGCCCGGGGGTGCCCCATAGCCCAACAGCCCTGTAGCCCTACAATTCTATCGCCCTATAGCTTTATAGCCCTATAGCTCAATAGCCCTATAGCCCCCTAGCCCTATAGCCCTGATTGGGTTTTTCTCCAGCATCATTAATAGTATTATCGTTATTATCACTTTTAGATTTTAAAGTGTGCCAAAACTACCATTCAAGTTTTTACCCAGTCAACGCTTGCCTCCGTAGGGGTCCTAGCGGATTCATATGGTTAGGTGAGGTTCGTCGCCGATTTCTGTGGCTGGACCGGGCACCCGGGGGCCCGGGGGCCCCGGGGTACCCGCGGGTGCCCAGGTGTCCGGGTGCCTGGCCCTAGAAGACAAGAGCGGGTAACCAGATCGCGCGCCAAGATTTATGTAATTTACAATGGTTTGTTGCCTACGCGTCCGAAACCCAAGTGTCGCTTTGTAGAAGCGATTTCGCTGCAGAGGGGTGCATTGTTTTGATTTGGTTGCGGGGAATTTGGTTACGAAGTGTACTGTGGTTCTAAATTGATTATGTAAACTGGAGATTTGGTTACGATTTGGTTACGGTGCATCAGATATGGTTACGACTTGGTACAATTCAATATGGTTTATGATTTGGTTATGGTTTGGTTGCGACGTTCGCGGTGCACCTCAAACGCCGCAACCAAACCGTTACCAAAGTTGGCCTCCCATGGGGCGCATATGAAGCACCCACTTCCGAACCACACGAACCATTCATGGGACTTCTTGTCTCGCAGCGCGAAGGCGAGAATCTTGCGTTCGGGAGCGGCTGGGTGGGCCATCCCTCTGAAGGGGCGTGCGGGAATGGGGGTGGGGCCATAGGTGGAGCCCCCTACGGTGCACGATCCTGGTGAGGGGTCCGCCGCAATGGGCGGCGCATCGAATGCGACGGGGGGACGGAAGAGGATGAGGAGGAGGAGGAGGAGAAGGAAGAGGAGGAAAAGGAGGAGGAGAAGGGGGAGGCAGAGGAGGAGGAGGAGGTTTTAAAATCACGCTCGCTGCGCAAAGTCGGGGCGACTAAAACTGAGGAGGGGGAGGAGGAGAAGGAGGAGGAGGAGGAGGAGGTGATAAGGGGGGGATACACATGGAGGAGGAGGAAGAGAAGAGAAGGAGGAGGGGAAGGAGGAGGACAAGGCAGAGGAGGAGGAGGAGGAGGAGAAGGAGGAGGAGGAGGAGGCGTGGCGAGGACGATCTGCACTTGATCTGAACTTCCTCGAAGTCAAGATCGATGTCCTCCAAGATGGCCCACGAGCGCCCCTAAAGCTCCCAAGCCCCAAGAGGGCCCCACAAGGCGCCCAGAAGGGCCCAAGAGGCGCCCAAGATGTCTCCAAGAGGCGACCAGAAGACCCCCAAGAAACCTCAATAAGATCACCGAGGCACCCAAGACGCTCAAAGACGACCCTGGGCCCCCCAAGATGCCCCAAGAACGCTTCAAGGGGCCTCCACTAGGGTGCCCTTCCTCTGTGTGCTGCCCACTTCCCTGATCGAGGCTACTCCTTTGGGCATCGTTTCTGCATGGGCTTGTGGGGTTACTCTTTTTTTTTTACAGCCGCAGGCGGAAGCGCCAGCGGCGGGAGGTCGCGGGCGGGCTACGGCCGCGACTAAATTGCCGAGCGCACGCGGGGGGGGCTGGTGGGGTTACGCGAAGCGTTTAGAATTCCAATCATTTCTACCCGCACCTCCTCCTAGTTCAAAGTCTCCCTCTTCAAGCTCCCTCTTCCCTCCAAGCCTTCTCTGATTCTCTCACTCCTATCCTATTTTCTGCAAACCTCATTCTTGTCCTTGTCCATTTGGGCCTCCTTCAAAGCCTACTTCCAACCCTCCTGGCTCTAACCTTGAACCCTGGCGTCAACTCATCAACGTGTCAATATTATTATTCGGCCCTCGTGCTCTCGCCGTGCTTCCGCCCATGCCTCTTCCTATGCCTCTTTCTCATTCTCCCCTCCTTTTCCCCCTGCTCTCCTTCTCCTCCTTCTCCTCATCCTCATCCTCATCCCTCCCTTCTCAATCCTCCTCGTGTTTGCGTGTGTTTTGTTTCTTTTCCTTCTCCGAGTCAGATTCCTCCTCCTCGTCCTGTTCTTCCTGATAACGCTCTGTCTCCTCCTCCTCATCAGTCTTCCCTCCTAGTCGCTCGCTTTTGCTTGTCGCCTTCCACGACGCCTCGTTCTCCCCAGGTCCTGCTTCTGCTCCCGCTCCCTTCTTCGTTATGTATTTCTCCGCGTAGTCATTTTCGTTGTCACTCTCGCCGCCTTGCTCCAGCGCCTCCTTGTTGAGCCCAATCGGGAATGTCGAACATGCTCGGTTCGATGTGGTCACGATTTGGTTACTACGATTTACGTTTTTTGTATGGTTCGATTACGAAGCTTGTGAATTTGGTTACGATTTTTTAGCTACGCAGAGATCTTCCCGGGAAGATTTTGGTTACGCAGGTGTTCAGTGCATTTCGATAGCTCAATTGTGTGAGGGGTCGATCGTAACCATATTTTCCCGTTTTGGTTATTATGCGCGACAGTTTCGCGCGTAACCATATGATTTGGTTCAGTATACTAGGGGTGTGCCGGGGGGTGCTCGGAGGTGCCCGGGGGTGCCCCGAGCTGCCCGGAGGTGCCCGGGGGTACCCGGGTGCTCTATCGCCAAATAGCCCTATAGCCCTGTTGCCCTATAGCCCTATGGCCCAATAGCCCTACAGCCCTATAGCACTATAGCCTTGTATCCCTATAGCCCTAGAGCCCCAGAGCCCTAATACCCCTAGAGTCCCAGAGTCCTACAGCCCTGCTGCCCCTACAACCCTATAGCCATACAGCCTCATAGCCGTATAGCCCTACAGCCCTACAATCCTACAGCCTTATAGTCCTATAGTCCTATTGACCTGTAGCTCTATATGCCTATAGCCGTATAGCTCTATGGTCCTATAGCCCTATAGCCCCATAGCCATATAGCCGTCAAATATTATGACTTTTTTTTTCTCCGGTGCCCTTGTTGAATATTCTCTATTATTGGAATTGTTGGCGCTATGAGTTCTTTGACGGTTGTTATTAAGACATACTTCGATCGCTTCGTCTGATGATGGGAAATAATTATTTGTTGAGCGCTCCCAGGCGCTAAGATAACGCTCCGTGCGGGGCGGGCGCGATACCTTGGGATGGACAGCCACCCCCTAGGACGGCCAACGAACATTTATTTTCATTAAAGGGTTACAATAGGAAGCGTATAGGGCGGGGGTGGTTCGGAGAGGGTGAAAGGACGTTTCGGATTCAAGCTCTTCTCCAAGAGCTACAACAAGTGCTACCCACTACAAGTATGACTGTTGATCATATCACTAAGATCTTTCTTTCAATCCGAACTATCGAGCCGCCTTCAATCCGTGAAACACGTGCATGGTTAAACAAAGCTATGTGCTCGGTGCTACGGCGAGACCGGTATTGCTAAAACCCCGAGCCGCCCTCCATCCGTAACACTCTTGCAAATTGTTGAAACGGATGTGTCCGGCGCTCAGGCGAGAGCTAGGTAAAAAAAGCGAGCCGCCTTCAATCCGTGCCACTCGTGCACACTTTCTAAGCCAATGTGCGCGGCGCCAGGGCGAGAGCCACCGCCCTCAATCCGTGAGCTTCGTGCAAAGTTTTCTAGCGAATGTTCGCGGCGCTAAGGCGAGAGCTAGATTAGAAAAGCGAGCCGCCTTCAATCTGTGAACTCGTGCACAATTTTAAATATCAATGTGCGCGGTGCTAATGCGAGATCTAGATCATGAAACCGTGCCGCCCTCAATCCGTGAAGCTCGTGCAAAGTTTTCTAGCGAGTGCGCGCGGCGCTAAGGCGAGAGCTAGATTAACAAAAAACGAGCCGGCTTCAATCAGTGAAAGTCGTGCACATGTAAAAAAACAATGTGTGCGGCGCTAAGGCGAAAATCGCATTTTGAAAACAAACTACCCGCAATCCGTGAGACTCCTGCAGTGTTTGGTACGAATGTGCGCGGTGCTAAGGCGAAAGCTAGATTTTGAAATCCAGCCGCTTTGAATTCGTGAATTTCGAGCACAGCTTTAAAACCGAATTCGCGCGGCGCAAAGGCGAGAACCACATTTTGACACCGAGCCTCCGTCAAATCGTGAAACTCGGGTGCTTCTTTGAATAGACATATGCGCGCGACGCTAAGGCGATAACTATATTTTGAAGACAAACCTGGGGGGATCGATTTGCTGTTTGGCACGGTGCTGTAGTTGTCGTCCGTTTAATTTCGCCCCCTAGATTTCTTGCGCGGTGCTAACGATAACCAGGGGGGTTTCGTAAATACTTATCATATTACCCATATATCCAAATGTAGTTCAATTGTTCATCTCCGATCTTGCACGTTAATATGCAGATTGTCCCTCCCCCTCCTGGCCCTCCCCTTGAAGGATTCGGCATCCGTCTGCACCATCTGCAGCACCAAGCTGGGCAAGCGCCACCTGCACCGCAGGCGCCCCCCCTCGCCGCTGCTCCCCCTCTTCTGCCTCCCCCTCCCGCTCTGGCTCCTCGCTCCATGGTCCTTGTGTTCCTCGCTGTCCGTTCTCTCCGTCGTCGATCTCCTCCATCTCCCCACGCCCCCCCCCATCGCCTCCCCTCTGTCCTCCCTTGTATCCTTGCCCAGACCCCTTCCTGCACGCTGGCATCCGAAGGAGCCGTGTTCGGGCCCTGCGGGTCAGAACTGGAGCCAGTCCGGGACGAACATTGCCTCTGGGGGCCCGCGTATTGAAGCATTGGTCCATATCGGATGTTCGGGCCTTGCCCGTCCTTCACGTCCTCATGCTCCTCCCGCCTCCTTGCTCACCGCCGTCGCCGCCGTCGTCCTCTCCCCTCCTCCGCCTCACAAGGGGAGGCGTCTCTTTGGGGACCGTCTCCCTTGTGCATTGTGTGCCTTGCCTCCCCCCCTGTCCGCCGCCTTTTGGCCCCCCTTCCGGCCCCCTTTCTGCGCCCCCCCTACCTCCGACGTGCGGAGACACCATGAAGCCACGAAAGAGTCACGACCGCGGCTCCCGAGCAACATCTTCTATTGTGCAGAGGTCCTGCGTCCTGTACCGCCGATCGGGGCGCATTAGGCCACTAGGGGAGGCGGGGAGGTGAGGGGGAAGTTGCCGCGAGCTGCGTTGGAGTGTTTCTGGGGTCTGCCTGAGGCCGTCTGGGGGTTGGCCCTCAAGGTTCCATGGCGGTTAGAAGTGGTGTCGTTGTCCCTGGGACGTTGTTGAGGGGGGCCTCGCGCGCTCCTCTCATCCGTGGCACTCTTTGGCAGGGGCTGGCCTCCCCGTCCCGCCCCTGGCCCCCCCCCCCCTCTCCCCCGCTCCTTCCCCTGCCTGCACCCGCACCCCTCTGCCCTCCCTCGCTCGGCCTCTCTTCCCTCCCCCCACCCTGCCCCCTGCCGTCGTCGCTTAGGCGTCGTCGCTCGCGTTGCTACGTTCGTTCGTCCGTCGCCGCTGTCGTGTCGTTTGTCGTCTTCTTCTTCGTCGTCTTCGTCGTCGTCGCCGTCGTCCTCGTCGTCGGTGACCTTCTTCTTTTCCTGGACCTCGTGCCCCTCCGCAGGCGCGCGAGAGGCCAACCCTAGAATTCTGGAGTCCTAGAACCCTGCCCCCTACGTCATGATGTTTTCAGAACGTCGACCCCCTAAAAAGGCTCGACCCATTCCCCGGGACCGGTTTTCCATCCCGGGCCTTCTTTTGACGGCCCCGAGGCATGGGAAGGGCCCCCAGAGGCCGAAAATGGTGGAGAAGTTCCCGTCGTGTTTTTCCCCCGATTCGAGGGGATTTGGGAGCCCCGCCCACTACAACCCCCCCTGTCCCCGAATTTCTTCGGAGGTCCCGTCCAGGAGTTCTCGAGGCCCCTCGATCCCTCCTGAGGTCTCTCTCTCTCTCTCTCTTTCTTCGTCCCTGCGCCCGTGCCACCCGCCCTCGCCCGCCCCAGCAGAGGGGAGTTGTACTGCAGCCCATTTTGGGCGCGATGATGTAGTTCGCACGAGAGAAACTGTTCCTCCCTCTCGCTCTTTCATGATCCTAGCCCACCGTGTTCTTGCTTGAGAAACAATGGTAAGCGGAGCTGGTGTCGAGGGGCAGACGGGAGGACCGGATCCAGGTGCGACGGGTGAGCGAGATGACAACGATCGAGTTCGAGGCCAGCCGACCCAGACCGGAGAAGACCACTGGGATTCCGCGAGCTGGCACGGAGAACCTTCGTGGTGGCACTGGGGGTGGTGGCCATCATCGTGGAGCTTATGACTGGCACGCTGATAGCGGGGTAGGCTGGGACCAGAGTGAGCAGAGTCACTCGTGGGGTGGTCCTGGGAATAGTCGTGCCGATGTCAACAGCGACTTCGGCGCCCCGCCTACTTGGCTAGGCTAGGAGCACCCGGACTTGTATAGCGCCAATTTGAAGTCCTGGGTGGCGCGCACGGGTTTCAAGTCTAAGGTGCAGGCCGGCAAGGTGCTAGAGACTCTACTGGTTGATATTCAGGCCAAGTTCAAGCCGGTCAGATCATCACAGAGTACCGCCGAGGGGATCGAGAAGCTTCTCGATCATCTCGCTGTCTTGAACGGCGAGAGACCAGGCGACAAGCAGCGAGAGGCTCAGAATCTCGCCCTCTTCGACTTCGCACTGCGTCGTGGGGAATCGCCCACGGACTTCGCGCTGAGGAGGGACGCGCAGGTGTCCGAGGCAGAGGCCCATGGGTTGACGCTTCCTGACGACATCAAGTCACGCTTCTTAGAAGAAGGAGCAAACCTCAGTCCTCAGAACAAGATAAATCTCCGCACGCTCGCCAAAGGGTGCCGCGATTTCCTGTCCATCAGGCAGGGCGCACTTATTCTGGACGTGCCGGAAGAGGGAGTTATGCCCTCATCCTCGGTCTCTGCGGGAAACCAGAAGAGCTACGCAGCGGAGCTACCGGGCTCCGAAGAGGCCCACCCGGCGCCTCCATCTCCCTGGGACGGAGCAGCTACGCACTACTACGATGACATCGATGACTCGTTCGAGCTGCCCGAGGAGGACGCGCTGATCTTTCTCGAAGCGCTGGGCTCTCAGGAGTAAGACGAGAAAGACCTCATGCCGGTGCTGGCGGCGGTCGTAGAAGAAAAGTGGGGAAAAGAGAAGAGACGTACCTGGGCCGAGGCCCGAAACATGAAGGCGAGTCGTCGAGTGGATCGTGACTTCTTCGACCGTCGACGAGCTTCTCAGCCAGGTTTACGTCGCACTACGTCCGCCGACCTGAAGAAGAAGACGAGGTGCGCCAACTGTGGTGAGAAGGGGCACTGGGCAGAGAACTGCAAGAAACCGTACCGGTCCAAGCGGGGCAGACTCAATGAGGAGAAGGGCTCTACTACGGCCCCGAAGGGTTCGAGTTCGACGCACTGGGCAGGGTTCTCGCTGTCCAACAGCATGGACCAGCCATCCTGTGGGGCCGTTCTTCGAGGCGCGGCCGACGAGTGCGATTTCGAGACCTCGTGGGCGCCCTTCCCATTCGAGTTCTGGACGGGGATCGTTAGGAGCAGACTCGACGCCACGGCGATCACCTTGAAGAACATGCGGGACCGCGCCTCGGTAGATACCGCAGCGGGCCAGGCATTCATCGGCCGCCCTGACGTACTGATACTGAAGAAGGCGATGCGGAGCAAGGGATTTTACGTTCACATCGATTGGACCCCGCTGGGGGGCAAGGCCGCATCTGGGATAGGCGGCCGAACAACCCCGATCGGTCGCTGCTGGGCACCGTGCTCTCTGGCCGGCTGCGGGTGCATCGAGTTCTACGTTCTGGAGCAGCAGTGCCCCCCCCCCCTGCCCCCAGCGCGACTCCTGGAAATGATCTGCACCAACGTAGATTTGCAGGACCATCGCATGACTGTAAACGACGACGGTAACCTGGTGGATCGCGCTCTCCTGAGGCATCCGTCCGGTCACAGATCCGTCTCCCTGGTCCACCGCAGCCCGGAGCTGTTCCAGGTCTCCGACTCGGTGAAGGCCGGGCTTCCGAAGGAATGCTTCGACGTGCCGAGCCTCAGTGACCCGGTCAAGGACGGCGGGGATAGCGAGGGGCCGGGCCGCAGCTTTGTCGCTCAATTCCCTCTCCCCCACTTTGGCCTCTTGGGGAGATCTGTGGGCTCCGAGGATTCTCAGATGAGGGTGTTCGAGGAAAGTAGGGGCAGCGGGTCCGTGGCCAGTTTCTCTTGAGAAGGCTTCCATCACCAATCTGAGGGGCCCAGCTGGGTCGATGAGCTCCAAGCGGCCAGGAGTCATGATGACGAAGAAGAGAACCCTCATGCGAGCCCGATCTCGGTCTCTCGGCGCGACGGTGCAGCCGGACCCCGAGATGGAGAACGACCGCTCCAGGGAGACCTTGCCCGAGGTTCGGGAAATGCTCGTTCAGGAGGCCCTGTCCGAGCGGGAGATCGCGGACTTCCTGGAGGGCAAGATGGGGCTCCCTCCCGTGCGCCATCGTTGGCGCCACCTGGTGCTGAAAGTCGTGAATATCGAGCTGGTCACCCGCGTCGAGCAGCAGGTGGCTTTGCAGACGCCGTCAAGCTTCACGGAGTCCCTCCCGAAGTCAGAGTGCCCTCGCCCGCCTTGGGCGACGAGGCACGGCTCCAACACGACCCGCGTCTACGCCCACTGCGCGCAGTGCTCGGATCGTCTGCTCATGAGGAACACGACCGCTCAAGAGATCTTCGAGGCCCAGAAGAAGAAGGCGGATCGCGAGTCGGCCAAGCGAGATCGTCAGGAGCAGAAGGGGCTCGCCAAGAAGATGATGATGGAGTACGGGGTGGGCTTCCAGAAGTCTCAGGACGAGCTGATGTGGAAGAGCGTGCGGGACTTCATTCAGCAGGGCATCTGCATGAACCACAACGTCCAGCAGGGGTCGTCGCAGCCGAGTCTCAGCGAAGCCGACATGCAGCGATTGGCGGCGACGATCGTGACCAGCCTGAAGGGATCGACCAGCAGCTCAAGCTGCAGGAGAATTTGAGTGGCTCCAGCATGCGCTTCGGCGACGCGCTGACCTTCGAGCAGGTCGAAGCCCTGAGGAGGCCAGGAGAGGAGACCCCAGTTTCTTCGCGCCTCTTCTCTCGGGACTCCAGGGTTTATCACGTCAGGGAAGCCTCCAGAAACACCTTCGGGAGAAGCAAGGTTCGGGCGATCTGGGACTCCAGGTCGGGGCGGCTTCTTGACTCCTCTATCCTGGCTGAGAGCACCTTCTGGGCGCCTTCCGAGATGACGGGGCCCGAAGCTACGTCGTTCTGCGTTGCGCCGGCGATAAAACAAGCCGGGGGGAAGCCCCCCCGTTCTCTTTTTCCCCCGGGGGCCCGTTGGGTCGAAATCAGAACGAAAGACGACCGAGTCTTCTGGGGCGCTCCTTGGGCGGGCCCTCCCCATTCTGATTTGGTGACAGCCCTCCAGCGGGCGCGCGGGTCTCGACGCCCCCACGGTGCGGGGGGTCCTAAGGTCATTGCATGGCACGAAGCAACTACGGCTGAGGACGGGGGAAGAGGAAGCCGCGAAGAGATGAGCGAGGGAAGCAAAGAATATGGAGGAGAAGAGGAGGTCGGCGCCTCGGAGCATCCCCTTAAGTATGTCATCAAGGACCGCTTCGCGGCTGCAGCCCTAGACAGCGGTCCCTACGACCCAGGCCCGGGACCCAGCGTCTCCTATAAGGTTCGGGAGGCCACTCATCGAGTCCTGGAAGGTTCGGGCCTCAGATCGGGCAGCCGACTAAGGCGTCGAGAACATCAGCGATCGGAACGACTCCGAGGTGGCACTACGGTCATGGAAATCTGCCCCCCCCCCCCCCCCCCGCGTCTCGGATCGCATGTCTAAGCTGGGCTATCGGGTGTCTCTCGCGTTTGACGTGCTAGTCGGCAAGGATCCTAGCTCGCCGTCCGCCCGAAGTGATCTCTGGAAGCAGATAGTGAGGGACCAACCCATGGTTGTGATCATGAGCCCAGTGTGTAAGGCATTTAGTATCGCGAGAGTTCCCTTTTGGCCCACGATGGATCAGGATAAGCTGGCTTCGGAAGAACAACGGGGTTTGGAATACCTGAAGGTATGCGAGCTCATTGCCCGCCATCAGCTGTCCGAGGGTCGTTCTTTCCTGTTCGAACAACCGGAAGAGGCCAGTTCGCTCGATCTGGACGGGGTCTGGGACCTTCTGGAAACTCCCGGGGTTCTATCGGCTGTCACAGACCAGTGCGAGTTTGGGCTCTCGGTTTCCCCCACGGGCGGGCTGTCTCGGAAGAGGACAGTGCTGATTTCGAACTCCCAATCTCTCCTGTCCCCCCGTGTTCGATCCTGCTCTCGCTCCCACTCTCATCCTTCCTTTGGCGGGGGGGCGCAGGACATCTCGAGCTGAGCGATATCCTCCACAGCTGATCGAGGCCATGGTGGCCGGCACTGAGGAATCGGCTTGGTTGTATCATCGCGTGGCGCTCTGCCGCGCCCCAGACAGCGATTCCGAGTTCGACCCCCCCTCCTTCCCCGCGGACTTGGAACCCGAGGATCCCGAGGGGGACTCGGAGGAGGACGTCCCTGAGACGATCGCTCCGAAGAATCGTCGGCCCCGGGGGGTCCTGTTTCGGAGAAGGCTTCTCGTGAGGTCGGGCTCGACATCGCTCTCCAGAGGGAAGTGGAACTGCTGCGCGTGAATCTCGGTCATCCGAGTCACAGTGACTTCCTCCGCACCCTCAGTGGCTCCCGCTCGAGAGGATGTACTGACCTGGACCAGAGATCATTTCCTGTGCTCAGCTTGCGAGAGCCATGCTAAACCGTCGTGGAGAAGGCATGCCCACCTGCCCAGGACCTATGAGTTCAATCGAGTCGTCGCCGTTGATCTCTTTTATGTCGAAGTTAACGGAACCAGCACCCCTGTGCTCAACATGATAGATCACGGTAGCTCGTTTCAGCAGGCCTGCCTTCATCCCAGCGACACCGCTAAGGCCACCTGGAAGGCCTGCATGCAGTGGTGGGCGCGCCCGTTCGGGCTTCCCGAGATTGCGGCACGTGACGGGGGAGGGGATTTGAGAGAGAATGTGGGAGAGGATGCGAGCACTGCGGGATCTTTTTGCAGGTCGCCCCCGCGAATTCTCCCCGCTGGGACGGAAAGTGCGAGCGCCATGGCGGCATTTTGAAAGACGCCATGTCTAAGGCCTCTCTAGCACTCAACCCTGTTTCCGCAGAGGAGGTCGAGCTTATCATATGTGAGTGCGTGGCGGCCAAGAACAGGACGTTCCACCGAGGAGGGTATAGCCCCACGCAGTTGGTTTTGGGATGCAACCCCCGAGCGCCCCGCTCCCTCTTAAGCGATGACCCCCTTGATCTAGTGAGATGCGAGGGCGTCCTTCGCGAGGGTCTTGACGCCGACTCGGCCGCGGCCGAATTTTCCGGGCGTCACAGGATTCGCGAGGAAGCTCGCAAGGCACTGGCCAGTACTGAGGCCAGGTCCCGACTCTCCGAGGCCCCCGAGCCCGCAGACACAGCGATCGCCACTTTAAACCTGGGGAGTGGGTGTATGCGTGGAGAAGGGTTACCGGGTCCAACAGGACCCATTCCCTCCAACGGGACCGTTGGACAGGAGCTGGGATCGTCGCCCACCAGACCAGAAGCACCGCGTGGGTCGCCATAAGGACGCGACTCCTGAAATGTTCTGAAGAACGAGTCAGGTCCGCGACGCGACAGGAGTCTCTTGGGGCCGAGTTATTGGATCACGAGAGGTTTGATGCCTTGAGAGAGAAGATAAGGCCCCCCGGGAAACGTGTTGGAGTTGTGGATGCGGCCTCTGAGGGGCCCCCTCCTCCTGGGGCCTGGGACGGGCCTGAGCGGGCCCAAAGGGTCTCCTCTTTTGCCCCCCCCGAGTCAGTCCTTCCTACCGCCCCCCCTTCTCAGGCTCCGCCCTCGTCTGCTTCCGCGACCGGGAGCTAGAGGATCGGCGGTCTCGGCCTCGGATGCAGCTTCGCCGGAATCTAGATCCAGCGAGGTCGAGCCCGACCAGAGACCTACGACGGACCTAGGCCGGATGGTTCGCCGAGCCGAGCTTGACTCTGCTCGAGATGCACGTCCTCGTCTGGCCCCAGCTGAGGAGCTGGAACCAAGCGGCCGCGTCGCTCAGATGATACAGGAAAGAGAAGTGCCCCCTGGACCCGTTCTTCCTATTCCGGAACTCGACCATTGGGGGCCAGGGATCTCTCTTCCGAGGGCCCGCCGTGCGGTGTCAGAGCCCTACCCGTTTCCCCCCCGAGTGAGAATCGAACCCCCCTTTGAGTCATCGCCCCCGGGCCCTACTGCGGAGCCTCCAGAGGCTCCCGACGAGCAAGACGCGAGCCTACTTGCCGAGCTGGAGGCATGGTTTCCTGCTATCAGTGCGCCTGACTGCTTAGGTCTTTGTTATGATGCGGCTGAGCACTTCACCGGCTCAACTGTTACTGCGGCTCCAGCGAAGCCTCGCGGAGCCGAAGTAGCGTGGAAGAACGTGAATCCCCAGGAACGTCAAAGGTTTTACGAGTCCGATGCGGCCGAGTGGGAAGCCATCGTGAGGTCCGGGGCCGTCCGTGTGCTTTCTCCTTCGGAATCCAGGTTGGCTCGCCGCAGGTTTCCGGATCGAATTCTTTCTTCCAGGATGCTTTGTCGTCTGAAACCACAGGAAGGAGTGGGAGCTCCCCCGAAGGCGAAGAGCAGGTGGTGCGTTCACGGTCGCCGAGACCCGGACTCCCAGTCATTGTCTGTTTATGCTCCCACCCCCCAGTCTGAGTCAATAATGGTGGTCCTCCAGATGATTGCGTCTATGCAGTGGCGGCTACAGGTGGCCGATGCTAAAAACGCCTTCGGTCAAAGTAACAAGTTGGAGAGGCCCAGCGGGGCCATTTTTGTAGAACCGTGTCATGGCGTCGAGCTCGAGAGCTCGCAGTTGATAGAGCTCGCTGCCCCGGCTTATGGGCTTAATGACGCTCCGATTTTTTCGGCGCCGAACCCTAACGAACTGGCTGGCGACTCAGGGCTTCATCAAGAGCCTGCTCGAGCCTTGCCTCTGGCTCAAGCGCGACTGTCTCGGTGAATTAAGAGCTCTGACCCTGATAGAGGTTGATGACCTGGTCATCGCCGGAGAAGATAAGGAGGTGGCTGGTCTCAAGAAATCTATGTGTCAGCGTTTTGAGTTCGGTAAGTGGAAGGAGCTCGAGTCCGAGTATGCGGGCAGGCGTCTGATCCAGCTAGGCGATCGTATCACAGTGGATCAGGAAACATGCATTCGTGAGCAGCTCAGCAACGTGCATCTCGATCGCTCACGCTGCAGTGAGCCTGAATCTTTGTCGACGTTTGAAGAGATAGCGGCTTGCAGAACTGCAGTCGCTCAAGTGCAGTGACTCGCCAGGGGAAGTCGGCCAGATGTCGCCGGCAGTGCTTCTCTTTTGGCTGCTGCTCTCCCCGCTCCCAGGGTGTCGGATGCGATGATTTTGTCGCGTGTCTGTAAGTATCTCAGAGGCTCGTGTGATCAGAAAATCACGATCTGGGCTCTCGACCCCCTTTCCGCGCGTTTCGTCGCCGCGAGTGACCCGGGCGGTCCGGGGACCGCGCGGAGAGGCGGCGCACAGGCCGGCTGGCTGGTCATGGCCGCCGACGGATCGATCCGCGAGAATCGCCGAGCCATGGCGGGCGTACTCTCCTGGAGATCTCAGCGTATTAAAAGAGCGGTCGCTAGTGCAGTGGCGGCGGAGACCCTGGCGCTCTCGGCCGCAACGGCCGAAGCTCAATGGGTGCAAGTTTTGTGGCGCGATTCTGTCTTCGGTGACGTCCCTCGCCCGGATTGGTTCTTTCTCGGGACAGGCGCCGTTCTCGATGGTGCTCTCTCGAGACTGCCAGCTGTGCGAGGCGGCCGCGGGCCTGGCAGTCG